AATAAAAATGAGTGTGAGGGAGATTGAGAGAGTGAGAGAGAAAAACTAAAAACCCTTTTTTAATTTCCAATCACCCAACATTAAAGGGCAATTTTGGCATAAGCTTTTTGTTGTGTCCAATATGGATTAAGAGTCCCACATAAGCCTCTGATGACATGGCGATGGTTTTTATAATTTGAAATGTAGAGCTGGTTGTCAGAGTTTTGTTGGTTTATGGGCCAACTTGTAGCCTAATTTTAAATGCACAGTCAACTCCAACTATAATTTTCCTTAATTTAAAACTAATCATCCAACTTTTCAAAGAAACTCATGATAACATAATTGAATAATAAATATTTAAGAAAAGATATAACACCAAAAATGAAAATGTACAGAATTTTGTTGAAAACATTTGAGAACATTTATGATGTTATATATTCATCATATGAAATAAAAATAAAAGTTATTTTTATTTATGATAAAAATGCAATATAAAATTTAATAATAATAATAATAATAATAATAATAATAATTGTTATTTGCTATAAGCATTTAAATTTATTTTTAATCATATCGTTACTTTTGTTAATTTTCAATTTATATCTTAACTATGGTATATCTAAAATTCAAATAATTAATATGAAGAAAATTTTCTCACATACAACACTTGTACTTACTTACTAGTATATATATATATATGTGTGTCTAAAATTCAAATGCTCATTAACCTGCTCTTAAATAAACTTTTAACAACATCATTCCCTACAGCAGACTAGAAGCTTTGAATAAACTTTGCATTAATTTCATCCGGACCAGGGAACTTTTGGGGGCCTAATTCAAAGGCTGCAACTTTGACTTCCTCTGCCGTAAGAGGAGCACACACCTTTTCATTCTACTAATCCGATATGATCGAGTACAAGAATTGATCCATGGGATTATCTTCTTCGGGATCTTCTCTTTTTGTATATAGATGAGAAGCAATTAACAAAGGCTTACGCGATTTCCTTCTCATCCTTCCTCCAATTTCCTTGTCCATCGTTCATCTTGTAGATCTTATCCCTTTGTCTTCTTCGAATTGTTGTAGCATGAAAGAAATGAGTATTTCTATCTTCGTTTTGTAGCCAAAGAATTTTGGACTTTTGTGCCCAGAACTTACCTTCATGAATTTTGACTTAACTCCTTCTGAAGTAGGCTAATTTTTGTTAATTAGTTTTATTCTGAAGGGGAAGCTTGTTGGCATTCTTTTAATTCTCTTTTAATAGACACTTTTTTCTTTGCTACATTTCCAAAAGTCTTATGATTCCACACTCTTAAAACCTGCCTGTTACTTGCTAAATTTTTAATAAGCTTCCTTACCGGGTGGTTATTTTAAACACTGCCTCTTTACAAGAATTTTCAGTCAGCCGCATGGATTCAATCCTAAAAAGTCTGTAACCTTTTCATTTAATTGGGTCCAATTGGATTCTCATTGGGGCATGATCTGATCCTACCCTATCCTCATAGAAAATCGCTGCTTCTGGGAAAAACAACCTCCCAAGAGTTTGTTACCATTGTTCTATCCAATCGACCTTGAATAGTTTCATTGTCTTCTCTGTTATTAGTCCATGTGAAAGGGTAACCTTGGTAACTCATATATGACAAGCGCAGAATATTCATCATATTTCTTTTGCTCAAGCATTCTAGACCTATAAGGAAGATTACCCTCCTCTTTTATCCGACGGATGAATAATCTGATTAAAATCACAAATGATCGCCCAAGGACCTCAGGAGAAAGATTTAAGCCTTATCAACTCTTGCCAAAATTTACTTCTCTTTTGGGAATCAAGTTCACCATGAATGAAGGTTGTTGTCCACGAACTATTTGAAAAAGAATCAGTAATATCAACATGAATATAACGATCTGTGATGAATTTCACTTCAATAGTCAAGGATTCTTTCCAAGCCAAGCATAAGCCTCCATAGAGGCCTCTTGGGCTCTGAATGGTACAGTTATCGAAGTTTAATCTTCTACACAGATGCTTAACAATTCTTCTGTTTTTGTTCTTTGTTTCCGATAAAAACAACAAAGGGGCCAATGAAGCTTGACTAGCTCCATAAGAGTCTGAACTGTCAAAGAGGAACTCACTCCTTGACAGTTCCAATATAAAAGAGTCTGAACTGTCAATGAATCTCATATATTGGAAATGTCCAATCCAATAATTGGGTATTGATAAATCAAATGGGATTTTTGCATTCATATTAAAAATATAACGAGTAAAAGACTTAATCATACTTTGAGTTTTACTAAATTGATCTAAATATACCTTGTGCTTTTCATATAGGCTTAAGTTCCCCTTGTGGGCTGACCCCACAGACTTAAACATAAACTAACTTAGTGAAACTTTAAAAACCGTTGTTAATATATTAGGTGAGGTGACCCATACAAATTAAAAAAAAAAAAAGAAAAAAAAAAAAAACAATGTTGCCCTATTTGGATTATTGTTTTTCTATGATAAAAGGATAATGAGTCTGCTTAGAAAATAGGCAGAACCAACATGCGTGTCTACTTATACATGGTTGAGCACATGAGAAAAAATTGATTATTTTTGGGTTTTTAATATAGTGTTTATGTGAAAGAGGAGATCTTAGGGGTTCCTTTTCTTACCTTCTTAGTTTGTATATTAGAGTTTGTCTCTATTGAGCTAGTCATATTGAGAATATAGATTTTGTAGAGGCGAAATTTTAGATGAAAGTGCGATGATGTCCACTAGTAAGCACCCGCACCCAAAGCAATAAAATCCATAACATTTGAAGAAAAGCCCTCCACTTGTACTTGGTTGTTTTGTTGGTGATAAGGGAGAAGGCAAGACACATTGAGGACATAAGAAAAGGAGGAAGAGACCAGGGTGGAGCCAAGGGGACTTAGGGGCATTGCACGGGTCACGACTAATGTTAAATGAAACACAATGAAAATCAACCAATATTCTCTTTAGTCTTTTAGGGTACCTTTGGTTTTATGGAATAGGTGTGATGAGGGCGGAGTTGGCCAATTGTGACACATGGCATCCCGAAATAGTTGGATGACACCCAGACGACACAGGCGATAATTTGGAATTCCAGATCGTAGTTCGTCTTCGCCCCGACCTGGCGACCTACTTTTACCACCAACCTAGCGACTTCAACCACAACTTAGGCCGGTTATGAGCACCTCGTCTAGGGCCGACCTGTAGCACCTTGTCACTGGCTGATGTGACCTCGACACGAAGGGTGACCTCCCTCGAGGGCGTGCTGGCCTGACTAAGGTCCAGGTGGCGACCTCCCTCGAGGGTGTGTTGGCATGACTGAGGTCCAGGTTTGGCATGCATATCCCGACACTCTTAAATTTCTCGGAAGTTGGCTCACGTATCAAGTGTTTCGGAGGATGGCCAACGTGCATGGCAGTTACCTCCGGGGATCTTGGGCCACTTAGGCAACCTCTCGGAAATCTCGGATGCGGTGCGTGAAGCCCACGCCAAACAATGCCTATATAAAGGCACCAACCCCAATGATAAGGGGGCAAATAAGCATATTCTAGCTCTCATAATTAGCTCGCAATCTACTATGAGAGTACTAACTTAATCATCGGAGCGGCCTCGCCGAGTTAGGCACCCCGGGTCCTCTGACATTGATTCATTGCAGGTTTCTCTAAATAGCTACCTAGCTCAGCAATCAACCCAGCTCAGCACTTAATCTACCCCTAGCTCGACCTAGTCAGCTCGGCATCCAAGTCCTCATTTAACAAAAATCCTCCACTTCGGCCCTTGAGTTGTCGGCCACCAGGAAGTAAACCGAACAATAGGGTGCTGCCAAAAAAGAAAACATCAAGGTGTTTGGAATCGGAATTGGAATGGTCCATTCCGATTTTAAGTGAGTATTTGGAAAGAATGGGATTCCAATCATGGTTTTCAAAACCGGACCGGACCGGAAAAATAGGGAACTAGTCACCTCCGTTTTCCCTCAAAACCGTTGATTTTGATCAACAAACCGCTAAACCGGCCAGTTAACTATTCGAACCATTCGAACGATTTTGACTGTTTTTCAATTTTTTTATTTTTTTGTCAGAATGGTTCTAACCGGTAATTGGACCCCTGACCGATTCGGTTTTAAAAACCACGATTCCAATTTCCATTGGGAATGACAATTTCAGGCCTCCCCCAAAGAATGGGATTCCCATTTATAATCTACCAAGTAAGGAATTCATGACAAAAATGAAAAACCCCCTAAACCCTAATATTAATAAAATAATATGATGATGATGATAATAATAATAATACATTAATAATTAAATAATGAAATATTATGAAAGTAATAATACAATAACAACAACAAAACAAGAATATATCAATAATTAAAATATTTACAATAATAGCATTACTGTAATAAAATATTAATATAACATAATTAAAGTAATAATAAAATACTAACATATTAATTAGAAATAATAATAAGTTAATTTAAAATAATAAACAAAATAATAGAATATTGAAAAATAATAATGTATTAATAAAATAATGATAAATATAAAGATATTAATTATTAAGTACTAATAAAGTAGTAATAAAATAACAATTATATATTTATAAAATAATAAATAGATTAATACAAAATTGAAAAACTTTAATTGATCCCAATTACAACTCCAAATAAACGAAACAATAACAATTAAAATCCGATTCTGATTTGCGACTGAACCAATTACAGCGTCAGGAATATATAATTCCAATTCTGATCTTGACTGCGAACGGACCCTTAATTCTTTATGCGAATGTTCCTACTCTTAAGTCCTACCAATTACCAAGCCTCTACGGACCGATCCGACTACTGAGATTTTAGAAACAGCCGTTAGCCTCCTGACTCATGAGAGGTGCTTCCACCAAAAAAACCGCGAAATCAGGAAATCCCGCCGTTCGCATACGCTGCAGTTTCAAACGGAAGGGTATTTTTGTCATTTAAAAATATTCTGTGTACACACGGTGTAATTTCCCATACAAATTTCTTCGCCCTCTAGCCCCTCTCCTTGTTCGATGACACTCGCTCGCTGCGCTGAGAGACAGGGACTTGTGTGAGTTCTGAACTCTCCCTCTTATTTCTGTTTAAGGCGCACAAATCTCTGCAGATCTGATTCACCATGGCCCAGCCTCTTGTGAAGAAAGACGATGATCGGGACGAGGAAGGTAGGTCTCGGAACCATTTTATTCACGTAATTTGCTTTACCGATGCCATTCACCTCACTTGGTTTGATTCAATGATTCATCTTTTAGTCTTTTCTATTGTCGAATTTTGTAACTTGTATTGACGTTTAACATTCTGGTCTTTGCTTAGAAGTCTTAGATCCATTAGATCTACTGAATTTCTGTTTTTAGTATTTTGATATTGCTTCTGGATGTTGTACGCGAGAATGGATATGCTTAAGAGAGAGTTATGCTCAATTCAGTAGATCTGATGCGCAATTCTCATTTTTATTTTATCAGATTGGCAAATTGTATTACTGTTTGCTGATTCTATCGCAATGCAGTTGGTGTTATAATTATACCTCTTAATCTATTCTTGTTTTGGCGGATTATTGTGATTTTATTTCTTGACGTGCCTATAACTGGGAAATTTCTCCCAGAGAGCTATTTCTGACGTTGTTGTGTTTGCTTTGCAGCGGAGTACTCTCCTTTTACTGGGATTGAGAAGGGTGCAGTCCTTCAAGAAGCTAGGGTTTTTAACGATCCTCAACTTGATCCCCGGAGATGCTCTCAGGTTTTTCTTTACGTGGAATTTGCTTTTGTTTTCTTTTTTAAACCGTAAAGAATTTATGTTTTCAGGTCTTGCACTGTTTTCTGGTTCACAGGTCATTACAAAACTCCTATATTTACTTAACCAAGGAGAAACATTCACCAAGGTCAGAGTTCTTTGTAACAGATATCTTCCAACCTCCTACTCCCTCGATCCATCTTTCTCTTTCTTGCTATTTTGGCCTATTTGAATGATTTGGGTTTCTCCATTCTGAGCATTTTGCCAATTGCATGCAATTTATAGATAGAAGCAACAGAAGTATTCTTTGCTGTCACAAAGCTTTTTCAGTCACGGGATATAGGTCTAAGGAGAATGGTTTATTTGATCATCAAGGAACTTTCCCCTTCAGCAGATGAGGTTATAAGACTAAATTGCTCTCCTTCCCATTGTCCTTTCATACTCTTCCTTAGAAAAGTAGACACTGATTTGCAATACTCTTTGTCTAAAGGTTATCATTGTCACAAGCTCACTGATGAAGGATATGAACAGCAAGACTGACATGTATAGGGCAAATGCTATCCGTGTTCTCTGTAGAATTACTGATGGAACTCTTCTCACACAAATAGAAAGATACTTGAAGCAAGCAATTGTCGACAAGAATCCTGTTGTTGCCAGTGCTGCTCTTGTTAGTGGAATTCACTTACTGCAGGTACCATATGACATGGCTTTTCATTGTTGGTAAGATATACATTGTTGTTAAGTATGTTCATTCATGCTGTTATATTTGAACAGACAAACCCAGAGATTGTGAAAAGGTGGAGTAATGAGGTACAGGAAGCTGTTCAATCACGGGCTGCCCTTGTACAGTTCCATGCTCTGGCTCTTCTTCACCAGGTAGGCTGGGTTTTCTTTTTTACTTATTTTATTTTGTATGTGCACACACACACACACAGATATATATATATATATATAAAACAACGGCATCTCAAGTGTGAGGAGTATGATTTATACTTCAGACGTGAGTCTCAAGGTTTCACCTCAAGGAATTTTCCTTGAGCCTTGCCTGAAGGCATAAGCTTGATATACTTATTAAAACACTGTTTTGGAGAGGTTTTTGCCATGCCAAAATCTTGTCCTAAACACCAGTTTCATATTTTGTTGAAACATTTATTGTTTGAAATAATTAAATTTTCATCCAAATAAGCCATTACTTAAGGTGCAACCATAAACACCAACTTTGACTTTGAATATTTTCTGGTTGAAATTATCATGCTATTTTATAACTTAAAAAGTGTTATATACATCTGTTGTTGACTTGCAGATACGGCAAAATGACCGGTTAGCTGTTAGCAAGCTAGTTACCAGCTTGACAAGGGGAACAGTTCGCTCACCTTTGGCCCAATGCCTCCTTATTCGTTATACTAGCCAGGTATATACATATTACTTGAATATTGTATGATCAAACTTGCAATGCTATAGCCCATGTTTCATGCCCTTCATTATGATGAAAGAAGTATTCATGCAGGTAATACGTGAGTCAGGTCTCAATACACAAACAGGAGATCGCCCATTTTATGATTATCTTGAGGGCTGTCTGCGACATAAAGCAGAAATGGTTATTTTTGAAGCTGCTAGAGCAATAACGGAGCTCAGTGGTGTGACCAGTCGAGAACTGACTCCTGCTATCACTGTACTACAACTCTTCTTGAGTTCTTCAAAACCTGTGCTTCGTTTTGCTGCTATCCGTACTCTAAATAAGGTTGGCCCTTCTTCTTGTTCACTAAAATTATTTCTACTTGCACTTTCCTTCTCAATAAATATTTCTCGGTACTTCTATATGGTGCATCTAGGCAAGGGTGTTTTTGGAGGCTGCCAGGCCCTAGGGTTTTGTTGTAATCTTGTAATCTTTGTTTCTTTTTATTTCTTGTATGGTCAAAAATATGCTATTTCCTTGTATTGCCCCTGCTTTCCTGTTTGGACTGGCCAAGGTTCTTTCAATCATCATCATCATCTAAGCCTTGCCCCAACTATATGGGGTTGGCTACATGCGTCCTGTTTTTCTATTTTGTTCTGTTCAGTGCCATATCCATCGTTAAATTATGGGTGCTTAAGTCATTTCTTACTACTTCCACCCAGTAGGAATCTGCTGAATTAAAAAATATGAAAGAAAGTAGTTTCTTGAAGAGAGAAGGAGAAGAAGAGAAGTTTGAAAGAAAAGAGAGCAATAATCTGGCTGCCCCCTTCACTTATTGTTTATACTAAAATAATAGAACAGTATAAAGACAACTATGCCCTTATAGGGCGGCAAAACATAAAACAGCATATATAACACACAAAAACATAATAAAATTTGGACTCACATAACTACTGTGGTCCCCACCTCCTATCTAACAACTAACATAAAACATCTACTCAGAAAAATATCATAAAACTAATTAATCTTCAACACACCCAAGTCCTTTTCTGTCTGCCGCTAGCTCTTCTAGCCCCTTCAACTTGTAGCAATTCAGTTTTCCTAACAGGTGCTGTAGATGGTCTTATAGGCCAGGGTTCAATATTTAATAAAGTTTCTGTTAATTTTATCAAAAAAATATTTTTTTTTGTATTTCAAATTAAGCAACTTTTGCTTGTTATTAATGGAATTTTAATAAAGTATGTCAGTCTAGTTCAGGTTTAGAGCTTAAGATTGTCATTTGTGATCTGAAATGAGATTTAAGAAAAACTGAACATAGTCATGAGAAACCTAGGGCAACCAATATTGATTTTAAAAGGAAAAGAAGAAACCTAGGGCATCCAGTCTCCTGAAACTGCTTATGATAGATAGCTGGAGTTAGATTGCCCATAAACACTGTAATCCTCTAACATAGTGCTCTTTATTTCTTTTTTTAATGATTTTTTCAGGTTGCAATGACACATCCCATGGCAGTTACAAACTGCAATATAGACATGGAGAGCCTAATTTCAGATCAAAACAGAAGCATTGCTACACTTGCTATCACTACACTCTTAAAGACAGGAAACGAATCTAGTGTTGATCGTCTGATGAAGCAGATAACCAACTTCATGTCAGATATTGCAGATGAGTTCAAGATTGTAGTTGTTGAAGCTATTCGATCATTATGCCTTAAATTTCCACTTAAGTATCGAACATTGTGAGTGATCTTGGATTTTTCCCACATAAGACTTTGTTCTCTCCCTTGTCTCTTTGAACTTTGGGTTCTATAACATGATTCTTGATTTAGATTTTATTCATCTTCTTTTTCTTCTTTATTTTCAGGATGAACTTCTTAAGCAACATTCTTAGAGAAGAAGGTGGTTTTGAGTATAAGAAGGCAATTGTTGACTCTATTGTTATCCTAATAAGAGACATACCAGATGCCAAAGAAAGTGGGCTGTTTCATCTCTGTGAATTTATTGAGGATTGTGAATTCACATATTTGTCTACACAGGTGGGCATTTCTCCATTAACTGTAGCAAATCCAATTAATTGGATTGTTTGAATTCTTATCTTTTTTTTTTTCTCTCTTCATCTTCTTTGCGCTCTTGTTGTTTGACATTTTTGTATGCACTTTATTATGAATATGTGCTCCCTTGCCATATTTGTAGATACTCCACTTTCTAGGAAATGAAGGACCAAAGACATCAGATCCCAGCAAATATATCCGTTATATCTATAACCGGGTTATTCTTGAGAATGCAACTGTTCGGGCCAGTGCTGTAAGCACCTTGGCAAAATTTGGTGCTATGGTTGATTTCTTAAAGGTAGTTTTATGCCTTATCAGTTTATGCATTGTTCAGCATTTGGTTTAACTAATTAACATTTATTGAAAACATTGAACTGTTTTATGCAGCCTCGAATATTTGTTTTATTGAGACGCTGCCTCTTTGACAGTGACGATGAAGTAAGTCTCAGTTTAAAATTTAAGAATTCTATGTCTAAGAGTTGAATACTTTATGCCTAGGGAGTCATTTCATATTGGCTTACCCAATCATGTTTTGGAAATTAACTGATTACAAGTTGCACTAATTGCCTTGTTTTGATTGGTAGTTTGAAGCTTGGACATTGTTTCCTTCAATTTATATTTGAGAATTCCTAGTTTGTGTGGCAAATGTTCTAGTTAGTGTTATTTTGCAATGATATTATAGTTAGGTATTAACATTTTTAATTAGGTATGATATCTTATTTCATATTAAGGTTTAGCCTTTTTATTTCCCCCATTTTTGCATAATTCTGCTTTAAACTGGGAAAAGAGGGCCCATAAACTTTGTTTAGTCTGTTTTTCCTAAGATGTTAAACGTAGGCCATGTAAATTTGATATGTAGCTGTTGGAAAATGAGCTAGTTCAAATTCATTCTTTGCCAGAAATAGAGATAAAAATTAGCCTTGTTCCCTGGACACGTTCCTTAAAGATTTTGCAATTGTATTGGACTTGTTCAATTTCCTTGCTTTACTTGTTCAACCTGTCATTGGAATGAAAAAACAATCTCAGTTTGAACTAAGTCTGACTTCTATCCTCTAGTTTACTTGATAGTGATATGTGCCTTGTACTTGCTAGGTATTCTTAACTGCTAATCCATTCACAGGTTCGTGACAGGGCAACACTTTATCTAAATATGCTTGGGGGTGGTGATGATTCTGTTGATGGCACTGACAAGGATGTGAAAGACTTCCTTTTTGGGTCGCTGGATGTTCCATTGGTCAACCTGGAGACAAGTTTGAAGAACTACGTAAGTGTTATCCTGGCCCCTCTCTCTCTCTCTGTTATATGTTTTACTGATAAGCTTCTTAATATTTCTTTTTTCTTTTAATAAATTTTATTTGAATACAGGAGCCTTCAGAAGAACCTTTTGACATTGATTCTGTACCAAGGGAGTTTAAGTCACAGGCACTTGCTGAAAAGAAAGCCCCGGGTAAAAAGCCAACTGGGCTTGGTGCTCCACCCAGTGGCCCCACATCCACTATTGATGCTTATGAAAAGATGCTTTCCTCCATCCCTGAATTTTCAAGCTTTGGGAACCTTATCAAGGTTCTTTTACTGAGCCTAATACAAGTGCAGCTTAATGGTCGATCTATCACTGGCATCTCAAGATTTATTTGTTTTAATTTTCACTTTTATTTTTCAGTCATCAGAACCTGTGGAACTGACAGAAGCTGAAACAGAATATGCCGTTAATGTTGTTAAGCATATCTATGATGGACATGTTGTGTTCCAGTACAACTGCACAAACACTATTCCTGAACAACTATTGGAAAACGTAAGTTGCATGTTTGGGATGATTGACATGTGTTTGCTTCTTACCTCACTGGAAAGTTCTTTACAATAATGTTGCTTTTGCTTTCTACAACAGGTCACTGTTATTGTGGATGCCTCAGAAGCAGAGGAATTTTCTGAAGTTTCATCCAAGCTTTTGAGATCACTACCTTACGATTCTCCAAAGCAGACCTTTGTTGCATTTGAAAAGCCAGCTGGAGTCCCTGCTGTTGGGAAATTCTCAAATATGCTAAAGTTCATTGTTAAAGAGGTATGGTACAACCACTGCTTCCTATATGCTGAAGTTCCTACTATTTCTACTTTTGTTTTGAAGCTGATTAATTTGCTTTGTGAAAATGTGCATTCCTGGTTGAGGGGTAATATGGTAACCAAACAAAGTAAAAGTATGGGCTACTTGCTAGCTTTGGCCAGTTGATCAAGATGTTCTTAGTTCATATTTGAAAGATGTTTCACTTTGACATATGTTGTTATACTTAAGCTAGGAATAGGATTTATAGAAGCAGATTTATAATTTGTTTCTAGTGGCAAATATCTGGAAAAAAATAGGTATTGGTTGCTGCTACCATCATCTAAATTGGAAACTTGTCACCATTGCTTACCTAGCAACTTGTCACCATTACTTGGGGGGCGGGGGGTTGATACTGTGATGTTGTTGAATCTACTTGGCCCCATTGTGGGGTGGTTGAAACCACATGGTTTGAACCACACCACACACTATAAGGTGTTGTGTAATGTGTACTAAAGAGCATATTTTGGTTATTTATTATATAATATATAGTAACAATTCTATTTATCATGACATGGAAGAACCATGTGATTTTAGTGTGGACACAAATTGGTGATATCTTGTGGACTAGGACCAGCCACATTGTGTAATGGCCTTCCAGTCTACCCCTCCCAAGACTCCAGATAGCTGGGACCAATATTGGGTGAAGGTCTTTTTTAACGATCCACATATTGCTTCAAAAAATACCCCCTTGGTGGTACTATTATCAGATATATAGTGCATAGATGTTTACAAGATATAACTACTCGCTCAACACAACTTAACTCAGCCTTGATCCCAATAACCTACCCACTCTCATATGTTATTTATTCATTGGGTTTAAAAATTCTTGCAGTTTTCTAATTTCTTTTGCCATAAAGAATCAATGGAAGGTTTTGAGAATTGTTGTATGAAAACTAAACAAGTTATAATAAAAGGTCCAGTGGCTTTACCACTTCTTAGTCTATATTCCATGGTTCTTAGTATTTTCATCTGTCCACTACCTCTGGTATATGTCAATATCTGTCATTTATTTAGTGCGTTGCTTTCTGTCAGTTTATTTGAGTAAAGATACTGTGTCCAACATCAGGTTCTTATGAAACATAAGAGGGGGCCATTACCTAATGTTGGCCTCATCTATTCAGGGTCTTAGGTCCTAGAAGAATCATGCACTGGTACTAATTATAGAATTTGTTGAACACTTTTTTGAAACTTTGAGATCAAATACTTGGACAAATCTAATTCATACTCTGATCCAGTTGAGCCATGCTTGTTTTGTGAGGAATTATACCATTTGAGTTTCTGGATTGAGGTTTTTCTGACTGACAAGATGTAAGAGGCAGAGGATTCAATCAACAATTTAGAGTTATTTCTTTTGAATGCTTTTGTTGTTCTTACTTAATATTGTCATCTCAGGTTGATCCTTCTACTGGAGAAGCAGAAGAAGATGGTGTTGAAGATGAGTATCAACTGGAGGACCTTGAGGTTGTTGCTGCAGATTATATGTTGAAAGTGGGAGTCTCCAATTTCAGGAATGCTTGGGAAAGCATGGGTCCAGATTGTGAGCGGGTTGACGAATACGGCCTTGGTGCAAGGGAGAGCTTGGCAGAGGCTGTGAGTGCTGTCGTCAACATTCTTGGCATGCAGCCCTGTGAGGTACACATTTTTTTTCTGTTGGGGTCATGTAATCTTTCTAAGTACATGAAACTGCGGATTAGTTAAGATATTGGCATAAAATCTGACTCTTGTTGCTATCACCAAAAAAAATGGTGATTGGTATTTTTTAACCTTTCCAACATGAGCCACAGAGCCAGTAATATCTAATATGGACATTACATGTTAGATGCAACTCATTTCTCCTGTACGGAGGGATGCCTTGTAATTAGCCTGATCAACATGTGGTGCGGGGGTTATTAGCTTTCTAGATCAACCTAGCTTCTATCCTGAAAAATGGACTAGTCTAGGCTGCTGAAAGGTTTTGCTTCTGTATTGCGCAGGGGACTGAGGTAGTACCGAGCAATTCAAGGTCACACACATGTCTGCTGTCTGGTGTGTTCATGGGCAATGTCAAGGTGCTTGTCCGATTGTCATTCGGAATTGATGGGCCCAAGCAGGTTGCTATGAAGCTGGCTGTTAGATCGGAAGATCAAACTGTCAGTGACATTATCCATGAGATAATTGCCAGCGGTTGATTGCAGATCTCAACATTGTTGGATTTGATTTTGGCCCCTTTCTTCCTTTCTTTAGTGAGACCGGATACATGGAGGATGTGTTGGTTCTCTGAGTGTTGCAGTTAGCGTTGGCTTCAAACAAAAAACTAATAGACGAAACAGAGATCATTTCCAGCTTTGGAGGTACAGTTTTCAGAGACGGGAAGCTGTTTTTTTACCTGTACTTTCTTGTTTAATTTTTTGGGGGGTTGGTTGCCCATTCATATTTGATATTGGTTTTAAATTAAGAACATAGAATTTAGGTAATTTTGGTGATTGACTCCCGTGTCTGATATATGAGAACATTTGAATAAATTCCCGATGTTGGCATCATTCGACGTCCCCCAAGTTGAGCCTGCAATTTTTAGAGGTTGCATTTGGCACATTCCTTATTTATCTGCTTTTTGCAGTTAAAGATTCAATGTTCAAGGCATTTTTAACTGTAAAAAAGGTGATAAGTCCTTAAAATAAGGAATGCCAAATGCAGCATTTATCAAGAGAAAAATGAGTTTAGTTTTCAGGAAACCTGGAATTTGACCTCACTACAATATGGTGCGTGTTAATTGCAATCAAGGTTCAAAGTATCGAGACTGGTACTCTTTCATTTTGATATGTCGGTCGGCCTGTATTGGTATCTTTTTTAAGTTTTATTTATTTTTTTGAAACCGATTCAGAGGGGTCAGTTTAAGGCCTGGCCATCCTCTGAACCAGTATCTGACTCGATACAATCTCTGGAGAGGCGTATTGGTAAGCCATCGGCATGATACATATTGGTTGATACGGGTCGATATGTATCGATATTTTGAACCTTGATTGCAACAACCAACTTGATTGGATCCATTGAGATGAATTCCTACTTTGGGCTCCATTTGCGAAGAGAGCAATTTCTGATACGTTCAGTGCAAATACAAATTAACAAATATGCAAGAAGGTTCAAATGACCAAAATTGTATTTGCATTCTTTCAAACGGAACCTTAGACATACGGATTTATCATGGGTTCGGTGTCTGGGATGGCGGATGGCCTGGTCGATCTTGATTGTGAGTTCACTGATTTTAAGATCTTTTTTGTTTTTTTGCGAAGCCATTTATTTGGATAAATGTTTTAATTTTCTTTTATTTTCTGGGTAAAATGAAATAATAACTATTTATCCATTAAGCTGATAAAATTGCCATTGTTGGGTAAAATAAAATAATAACTATTGATTCATTAAACCGATAAAAGTACCATTGTTAAAGGAATAATGTTATTCCACCTAGGGCTATAGCTAGATTTGAAATTGGGTAGTGTGTTTTCATCCACACCATGGGTAATCACACCCCAACAAGATAGTTATTCTACACTGTGGACAAAAATGTATGGACTGATCCACACCACACCTCCATAGGCGTTCTGCAAGGTGTGGTATATTTTAGCCTGCACATTGTATTTGATTCCATGCATCCCAATTACAACATTTGAGATAATCTATGTTAGTAACATTACAAAATAATATATTATTTTTTGTAATATACACAATAGAAAAATATTAGTAAATAGTTAAGGATTTTAATAGTTAATAAAAATAATATTAAATAACAAATAATGATATTAATATTAATTAAACACGAGTAGTAATATTAATGATAATTGATAATATTAACAATAATTAATATTAATAAAACTAATATTTGAAACTTAATAATTAATAAAATAATATTAATATTAATTAATAAACATGAGTAGTAGTGGCGAGTGGTTCAAACAGAGAATAGTAATATAGCAATAGAATAAACAAATGATGAATACTTACTAGTTACCATCGACAATCAATGCAGCACTAGTTGGAGGAGGAGTCGCGAGTGGTTCAAACTAAGTTTGTTAGTAATACCCGAACATCCAAGGCCTTATCTAACATCCGATCCAATTTAAATATGAAACCATTTATTATAATATTTATTAATTGTAATATATAAATTTTATATAATTATATTTAAAATTATATATATATATTATACATTAATTTATATATAATAATTTAGTATGTTATATTTATATTAATTTATTATATATAAAAATTTAAAAATAAATAAATTTTATTTTCCTAGTATTTTAGAAAATTTATAGCGGAGTCGAATGAAATCCGAATCCGACCCGAATCCGTTAGGATTTGAATTAGAATCCAAGCCAATTGGATTTAGATGTAGGTTATCAATAATCGGATTGAATGTGGGCTTTGTTGCATCTGATTTGAGTCCGATCTGATTACAACCATAGTTCAAGTAAAGAAGAATAGCAATGATGAGTAGAGAAGAATAACAATGGAGAGCTCAGAAGAGAAGAAAATATGTTTTATATTAGGGTTAAACATTCATGCGAAGTATGGGATCATCATTCCATATGCAAAATGGTGTGGTGTAGATGCTTCCACGAGATAAATCTGTGGATGATAAAATGAATTGTGGTGTGGACCAATCCACGAGATAGTGTGGATCAATCCACACTACAGCCAACTGAACACATGGCATAGAGGTGGTGTGGATTAAAACTGAATATATCTTGGCCAATCTACACCACCTAAGTCAGATCAGATTTGAATCAATACCAGTCCATTAAGAGGTGTATTTGGATGTCCCTCTTGATCTAATAAATTGGATTGGATCGGAAAAGCTGATCCATTAATTTAATGGATCGAATTCAAATATCGATCAATCTCATCCGTCGTGACCCAATTTGGTCTGCTAATATATATATATATATTAAGACAAATATGTCCTTCACTTTATATTTTAACTAGGTTTATGTATTTAGAAATTTATAATTTGATCATGTACATAATTGTAATTTGGCTTAATCTCTAACATGAACATGAACGAACAGGATTGGATGGTTTCTTCAGACTCCAGCCTTCTTCTTCCTCCTTGTTCGTTCGACACTAACAACTTCCTCTTTGGTGCTTGTTTGATTGGATCGAAAAAATTGCTAACCAGTTACCAGCAACATTGTAACAGTCATTCTCTTCAGTGCGACTGTGCGTTTAGTCTTCAACTTTCCACTGCCGACCTGCCACTGCTCTACATTTTCGAGCGATTGAAACGTTGTCCTCTACGGGTCTGCAGGTAAGCGGTTCAGCTATTCCATCACCGGCGGCATCTTTGAAAATATACCACCCAAGTGTTGTCACTACCATAGAAGCCAGTGCATCTGATATCTCCCTCTTTAGCTGCCTCTCTCACTCTTGCACTCAACCTTTCAAACTTGGAAATAGGAGCCGGGCGGGTAATTTGTTGTAACCAACAGTTAACAATGGGATCGAATCGGATATCCATTAAGATGAATAGATTGAATTAAAATCAGGTTTTCTAAAAGGGTAAATTACAAAGGCCCCCTGTATTATGGGGTATGTGACAAAGACCCCTTGTACTTTGTTTTGCGGCAAAGACCCCCCTGTACTATGACCATAAGATAAAGACCCCATTCAGCTAGCTTTCCGTCGCTGTTATAATATTTTTAATCCTCATACTATCCTTTGTAATAAGACAATTGGGAGAAAAACATTGTTCATCTTCCCCAACCTCACGATACATTGTTCATCTTCCCATTCATTCTCTTTTGGTTTACAATCCAATAATCAATACTTATATACATATAAACAAAAAAAAAAGGAAAAAGAAATTTAATCCAACAAACCGTAAAAAAAAGAGAAGAAAATTTGCAACCACGGTCGAAAATCAATAACATTCAATCTGATTTGAGAACAATTGAGAAAGTGGCACTCGCACTGTGCACTCTCCAAATTAGTCACAATGTCTGCCATCATGGGCCGATCCCTTCCCTCTAAGCTCACACACTTCACCGCCACTCATGCAGTTAGCTCCACTGCCTCTGCCTCGTTCACCTCCGGCACTCCCATCCTCCTATCTAACACCCTCTGCAACTCTCCCCCGTTAATCATGGGTACTGCATAGTTCACCACACTAATCAGTCCTCCCTCCTTGTCCTCCTTGAATAGTGTTGTCTTCCCCGTTAGCAGCTCCAGCAACACCACTCCCATCCCATACACATCACTCTTCGGCATCAGAACGTTCAGACCGTAATACTCGGGGTCAATGTACCCAACCGTTCCTACTGCTTTCATTTGCATGTATTCCCCATTCATCTCTGGCCCCATTAACGATAACCCGAAATCCAAAACCCTAGTCATCCAATTTCCGTCTAGCAAAATGTTTGACGACTTTATGTCTCTGTGAATTATCGACAGCATGGCGTCGTGAAGATACTCGATTCCCCTTGTGACATATAGTGCGATTTTGGTCCTCATCCTCCACAAGTTCAAAATACTGATGCTCTTTTCTATATTGCTCTTGAAATGTAGATGATCGTAGAGTATGCCATTCTTCATATACTTGTACACCAAAAGCCTCTCGTCTCTTTCTTCGCAGAAGCCCACAAACCAATTAGATGCTTGTGGTGAAAACGGGACAAGAAGGCTAGTTCCAAATCGAATGCGGTTTCCTTCTCCTGCAATTTCTTCAACTTGTGGGACGTCTCTCCCCTTTTAATTGCCACCTCACGTCCATCCACCAGCTTCCCCTTGTACACAATCCCGAAGCTACCCTTTCCAATCTTATTCTCCGACGAGAAGCTGTCGGTGGCCGCTGCAAGCTCCAATAGGGTGAACTCCTCGGCCCTGTCCACGTGCTTCGAAGAGGTCCCGCTCCTCTACCGCATAATTGCTTGGGAGCTCTGCTGCATAATTGCTTGGGAGCCCTGCCGCCTAATGGTGGATGATCTCGACAGAGCACTCAATGGACCACTGCTTGTTGGCATGCCAGCATTCGCATTGCCTCTGGTTATGGTGGGTTGAACAGAATTATAGACTTTCTTGTGCTGGCAACAACATATTCCAACCCACAAAATAAGAGTACATGCTCCCCAAAAGATCTCAACTTATCCTATAACGGCAAAAGCCAATAAACCCTTGCTCGTCTTTTTCAACTGTGACTATTGCGCTGGTGGCGCGGCGGCGGTAGGCCACGGCTTACAGATATTCCTAGAACCGTAGCAAAGACCTTGCGAATCACCATATATACCACAAGAGCAGTCTTGAACACACGGGCCATAAAGAATTAATACACTAACATAGAAGGGATTACCTGTTCATTTATCGTGAGATCAAGGGATGATGAACAGTGATTTTCTCCCAATTGTCTTATTACAAAGGGTAGTATGGGGATTAAAAATATATCTCTTACTGAATTCGATTGGATCAATTTGCGGTAACCGATTTGACAGTTCGACCGCCTGGATCAACAAATTATTAACCGATGTAACAGTTTTTGGCTAGAAACCGAATTTGAGGTAAAACAAAACTGATTATCTAGACGATTCTCATACCAAACGGTCTGACCGTCCAAGTCAACAAAAGTTCAAAAAACATGCCAAGTGGCTGAAGGTCACCCCCATTTATCGAAGAAACAAATGCTCAACTCTTATGTTGACCAATTTACTCACCCCCATTTATCGAAAAACAAATGAGGCTTAAGTCCTTCAAATAAGCATGTATGTTTGCCATTTTGGTTGGGCCAAGCGTATGATCCTTGAATATGTCATAAATGTCTTTTCAAACAAAATAAATAAATAAAAATACCACTAACGGCTTTCAAAAAAAGTATAAGTAACCAAGATTCAAATATTGATATAATATATCCAATATTAAATATATATATATATATTTATAAAAGCTTTAAAAAATTAATTTTTTATTAAATAATATATATAAAATAAAACTAAAAAAATTGTAAAAATTAAAAGGCGTATGATTTAAACCACTGATACACCATCAATACTTTGAACCATGCGACTAGCAAAGGGCTCATCGATACTTTGAACATGTCAACTCTTTCCAAACGGAGCCTAGGGTCCTAGTGACAAATTAATAGTCATTCGGTTCAGCGCCCTCAACCAAACCGTTATCAATCTTGTGCGTTGGCCTGAATGCTCTAGGGGTGCCCACGGTTCGATTAATTTTTGAAACCAAACTGTAGATTAATTTTTGAAACCGAACCGAAGTTATCGGTTTTTGGTTAATCGATAATCAAAATCGAACTGAAGTCAATCAATTAATCGGTTGATTAATTGTTGGTTTAGTTCGTTGGTTTTTTATTATTTATAATATTTATTATCGAAAAATATATAAATATATAATAAATTATTAGAAATATATATAATATTATATTTTAAATATATATTTATATATAATACAGATTTATTAATTTATAATGTATAAAAAATATAATGTATAATATAAATATAAATATACATAAAATATATATAAATATATATACCGATTGATTCCATTAACTACCAGCTTTCTATTTTGATTAACCAAAACTGAACCGGTATTTTTGATTTTTAAAAATAATAAATCAAAACCGAACCGATCGGTTCGGTTAACCGAATTTTCGGTTCGGTTTTTTCGTTTTTTTTTTTCTCACCCCCGGAAGTAGAACGCTCCCAAATCGAGACGCTCACGGCTGAACGAGCTGGAATGGGATCAGTCAGTTTTTCAGGTGATTGAAAAAAATAGAAGGTGGATTAGAAGTGCGATCCTGTTTTTCCAACCGTGTCTATAAAAAGCCGGACTAAAAACCCTTCTTAGCTTTTTATTTTCCGATTTCAGAGCTGCCTCTCGACTTCTGACGTGCGAGCGAGCGAGCGAGAGCGAGAGAGGGGGAGGGAAGGAGAGAGAGATCGGATTCGTGATCTGTTCTGCACATCGCGAAGAGTTGAGGTTCTAAAAGAGAACGAAACCCTTTGTCAGATTTCTGATCCGAGCTCTGAAAGATGGGAGACTACAACGATGCGTTCATGCGCAACAACAACGCCGCAGTGCAGGCGCGCACAAAAGCCCAAAACCGCGCAACCGTTCTGCAGTTGAAACTGGTATTTGGTTCCGTACCTTCCTTTTTCTTTCTGATCGGTAGCTGCAGTCGTTTGATCTGTATTCGATTTGGAACCCTAGTTTAGCGGCTTATGCGTTTGTCAGTTGTACAGCGAGTCAATTCTCGAGCTGAAAAAAGGTGTATTTTGTCATCTCTTTCCAAATCATGATTGAAGCCTTAACTGAGGAACCAATATGTCGTCTAACACACACCCCTTGGGAGGGGGTAATACGTATTTTTCGGGTTCTTTTCGAATTTCTTTTGTGTTTTGGTACCGTATTTTGTTTCCTTTCATTTCCCTGTTCTTTCCCTTTTATTCTGGTTACACCAATCTGTTTCCAAGATCTGTAGTTCTCTCTCTGCCCCCCTCTCTCAAGGTCTCAGACTACATATTTTGTGGTAATTACTGTGAGTTAGAGTTCAGAAAGAATCTACTAGCTCTATCTTTCATTGGTAATATTCACTTATTCGAAATTCCATGTTATTTTTGCAGTTTTGTCTTTTAAGGTCTGATTTGCGTAATTGAAAAATTAATCTATGTTTTGTGTCTTTGATGCAGATTGGGCAGAGTCATCCGACTGGTCTTACGTCTAACCTTTTGAAGCTTTTTGAGCCTCGACCTCCTTTGGAGTATAAACCGCCTCCTGAGAAAGGAAAATGCCCACCATATACAGGTATATGTAACTTAAAAGGTTGATTGTTGTTTTCACGTTGATGGATTTACTTTGGTACTGAACCTTTCTTTCTTTCTTTCCTTTCTTTCCCTCTTTTCTACCAAGGGATCGCACAATTTGTGAGTAACTTTGCTGAGCCAGGAGACCCTGAATATGCACCACCTGTCCAAAAGGCTGAAACTCCAGTAAGATACTGCTTTCTCAACGTGTTTTTCTTCTTTCAATTGCTTGTTTTATAAATCCTGATCTTATTTGGGATGGGCAACATTGCTTTATTATGTCTAAACTTATTTTTGTTTCCTGTCATCTTTTAATTTTAATCCTTTTTGATGGGGAAGTCTTTTCTCTGTTACCATGCTGAGATGACCTGCTTTATGAATATTAGTGCCGTATTAACTTCCACATGATTGTATTTATAAGGTTTCGTTGGCTTTAAACCAGTGATGTAAGCATATTGGTTATTTACTTGCCTGCAGAGCTATTAGTTGCACACCTTAAGTAAGGAAAAATATATAAATGGATTTATTCTACAAAACAATAAAATTGGGATGCGGATGCCAAGTCATTATGCATGTTTTAACATGTCTTGTGTATGGTACGGAATTCTGGATAAGTCTATTTATTTGGTTATTTAATTCCCTTAGATGGTTTCAAATAATTATATTTGCTTTTCTTATTGCTGTTGCTTTTGGCTACTACTATCCAATATATTATTATCTGCTTATCTTATTAAGAAAAGCGGGAGAAAAGAACAAGTAGGATATTCTTTTTCATATATTCTTACATTACCCTGTTTACAACATCAAGCAACCCCTTCCCCTCCAAAAGGAGAGTATTGTCTAGACTGTAGTGCTTGAGAATATTTGTTCAAGGATAATGTTTTAGCAAATTAGGTAATACCTTTAATGTTGTATGGTTCATTATTTTACTCAATCCAGGAGAAGAGAAAAAATGGGTATTAGAGTAGGATGTAACTTCATCATCTGTGATATGATGGAAGTTATGAGTACTATCATCTACGATTGCGGTATGATGGAAATTCATGAAGAGAAGTTGGAAAACAAACTATCATCTACAATGCCTTGTTAAATCTGGAATATCTGCCAAGTCATAGGAGGAACCTCTTATTTCTCTGGGGTCGTTGTGGCCCTAATATTACGACAACACCACCTTCGTAGTGAGAAGTTACCTCCTTATATGCAAGGCAGAATTCCAAATATTTTATCTGGTTAGGTTGGAACAAGGTCTATATCCCTGAACTTATAGCTGTATGTCGTTCCTTTTTGATTGTTTTTTCAATCCTGATGCATGTAGGGGTTAGGCTGTTAGGGTAGAGTGACCCCCCTCTTTATCAGGTATAACTTGACTTGATTTTTTTTTTTGTTTTTTACTTTGTAATAAAATTAAAAGTGGCCACTTCTCAACCTGGAGTAAATTGTGGTATTTTTTATTTCCAGTAACTTGTGCACAGTTGATGGTGATACCTTCTCGGATGAGTTGTTGCCTGAGTATCATGCCAATGATTATTCTATTGCTTTGTTCCCTAAATATTAAATCAATTAATGGGTGTTTTGAGTCACCATGATTATTTTTGTTTTTATGGCTTTGGTTTTGTTATGCAAGAGGTTGTCCTCATGGTTCAAAGTATTGATACACCTTTGTGTAATGGTACTTTAAACCATGCACCTTTTTTTTAATTGTTTTTTTTTTTTCAAATTTCAGCTTTATGTATATATATAATATATATTATTCATTAAAAAATGGATTCCTGAAAACACCTGCACACAGGTGTATTGGGTAACCAAAGATATGATACGATACACTCAATACGGGGTGTATTGTTTCAATACTTTGAACCTTGGTTGCCCTTTTGTGTTGTTATAAATTGGGGTAGTTAAAGCTGGTTGGTAGTAACCACAATTAGATTTTCACCAAGCTTTGTGCATCTATATTAGTAATATTATTCTTTTATTTCTCTATTTCCTTCTGTTAAGGTTTATTTGTCTTATTCCCTGTAATTTTTTATGTTGTCCATGAAATAAGAACCACCTGTTATCTTTTGTCTTACAATTTTACAATTTTTTTGTTTTGGTGGTGACAGTCTCAAAGAAGGGCTAGAATTCACAAGCTACGACTGGAGAAGGGTGCTGAAAAAGCTGCTGAAGAGCTTCAAAAATGTGATATACCTATCCTCACTGTTTTTTTTTTTTTCTCCCCTGGGTTTTTAATAGATGTAATGCATGTGGAACTAAACTGATTTTCATGGTTTTGTTATTTTTTCTGTCGTTTATGCAGATGATCCCAATAATGATCCAAATATATCAGGAGATCCATACAAGACATTATTTGTTGCAGGGCTTGTAAGTAATTTCTTGTTACGTTTTATCATTTCTCATGCTTAGACTAAGGTGATCTTCAGGTTTGCTCCTTAGATGGAAATCTTTCCAGGAAAATGCATCCTATGTCTATAGAAATGATGTTAGTTTACAGTTCCTATGTCTATAGAAGCACTTCTGCATCTCAATTGCCAAATGCCACTAATATGCAGAGTGGGGGCTTTCTCATCTAGGAATTTCTGGAAGAGTTTAATTATCAAAAAAAGTTCTGGGAGGGTTTTGAAGGAGCTATTCCAAATGAAGCTTAAGATTTTTGTTTGGAATGACTTGCAAGTGCTATTGTTGTATTGCAGAATTATGAGACTACTGAGCACAGGATCAAAAGGGAATTTGAAGCTTATGGGCCAATCAAGCGGGTAGGTATTTTAGAGCATCCCCAATGGGGACTCAGGTTATTGACTTTTGACTTGGGTAACAGGTTTGGTTGTGGTGAAGCTTTGTGGTTTTGTCTAATCGGAACTTTTGAACTTTTAAATTTTAACAGTCTAAAGATGTTTGTTAATTAGCTTTGCCTCCTTAATTTCTATGTTTTCAGTAACCAAATCAGGAATAATAGCCAGGTTATTCACTCACTTAAATTACAGCAGGATATGCTCTTCTATATTCAACTTAGGAGGTTAGCTATTACACTTGACATGGACAATGAAAATGTTTTAACTAAAACAATCTTGATTCTTCTTGTTCCTTTTCTTTCATGGTTTTCTTAATTTGGTGAACTCTGGTAAAAAAGTATTTAAGCTGTTTTTATATAATTAAGTATATAAGCTGTTGCCAAATTGGTATGTTGGGTCCAAGCATACTCCCAGACAACTTAATTGCAAGAATGGTAATGCATCATGGTTTTTGACTCTCAACTTCTTAAAGGTGAGGACTGCTAGTGATGATTGTACACCACCTTTCTTATACTAATCTATCATGTTTTTCAAGTTCGAAATGGAGTTCTTTTAGCATTTCCTTCTAAAATGGCTGCTAATGGGTCAGATTGAGTTGGGTTAATAGCAGGTATCCTTGCCACTAATGGCACTATGGGTTTGTTTTATCTTTCTTTCCTCAAGTCTTTTTGATTTTAATCCCATGGAAAGTTTCCTAGGGACCCAGGTATTATCCTATTTTCTAGTTAGTGGTAAATGGTTTCCTATTAAGCATTACCCCTGGTAAAGGGTTGTTACTCTTCTTCATAGCTGGTATTTTGGGCGCATACCTTGGTTTCTTACCAATTCAATTGCAATGATGGTGCTGCATCCTTCATGGCAATGCTGTAAACCATAAGGATGAGTAGGATGGTGATGCATTCTGCCTTTTGTCTTTATTCTCAAGCTACAAAGGAGACGGTCAACTTCCCCTCTTTTCTTGATCTGGGTAAATTAGAAGTTGGGAGTATCATTTTCCTGTTAATTTTATTCTTTCTTGCTTCATCTTGCTACTGAAAATCTTATTTTGACTTTAAAGGCTATCTATAAATTTCAGCAGTTCAGAAGATATCATGGTATTTTCTATGTTATTTATAATTAGTTTTCTATTTTAAAGTTTTATTCCCTGGTAAGGGGATGGTAAATCTGTTTGACAACTGGTTAATCGGGCACATCAGTTTTTCTGCCAACTGTAGCAATGGTGGTGATGCATCGTGCGTGGCGAAGCTGTACACCTTAAAAGGTGAGCACGGCTAGTGAGGCATAGTGCCTGTCTGCCGTGCCATTTAGGATTTAGTATTTGAGACATGCTTTATGTTTTAAAACAGTATTGTTGCCAAGTGGCCAGAACTACTTGGCTTTTACATGTTTTTTAATGCAAAATTCTACTCTAGATTATGTTATTATTTGTAAACATTTGTTTATTTGACTTCTGCTGTGGATATCTCAGGTTCGCCTGATTACTGATAAAGAGACAAACAAGCCTAGAGGTTATGCCTTCATTGAATACATGCATACACGGGATATGAAAGGTCTGTTCTTAAATGAGACATTAGGCCTAGTATTATTTTAATGAAGATTTACATATGCATTAGTTTTTTCATGACCAAGTCAATGATGATGTTATTCAACATTCAGCTGCATACAAACAAGCTGATGGAAAGAAGCTCGATAACAGAAGGGTGCTTGTTGATGTGGAACGTGGTAGAACTGTTCCAAACTGGCGACCACGTAGATTGGGTGGGGGTCTTGGATCAACCAGGGTTGGAGGTGAAGAAGTTAATCGGAAGTACTCGGGCAGGTAAGGGTTTCATTGCAGTAGTTGCATGCCTCTTTTGGACACCTAATTTGCATATTAAGATTTCAATAGACTGTATTGGGCACTAAAGTAAAATGGTACATGAATACCACTACATACAGGTTACAATACTTATTATTTAATAACATAATTAATTGTTCTCTTAAATTTTGCATTTGAAATCTTAAAGCAATATCTTCCCATGATCCCATCAATTAGTGTTTGACTGTTTGGTACTCTTTCATCCGTTATGGTTCACCTTCTATTGGTGGATATTTTTGATTTACAAGACAATTTCAATGAACAGAAGTTGTCACAAATTTTCAAAAAAGAGAAAGGATGAACGGATTGAAATAATGCATAAAAGAGAAAGGGTGTGATTAAGTTAGGTTATGTGGTCCAGAGGCCCTCCACATGTCTTGGCCTTTACTAGTAAATAAAATGTTGCATAAAATAGTGCAATGCACAAGACAATGGGGAAAAAGGAAATTTATCGAGGGCATAGACAGTTTTGCGTCCTGCTATGCCTGCCAAATGTACCATGTTGCATTCATTGCTAGCTTATGTTATGGTCTCCTAATATTCAGAATTTTCTATTTTATTGAAAGTTGTGCTTTTTAAGCCTCATGCCTTTTGTGCTTTGTATTCTTGATAACTTTACAACTTCAAGTAATTGATGCCTTCTCAAAGACTCATTTTGTACTCTTGAATGCTATGTTAGTGGAAGTGTGTAAACCTTCCCCGGACCCCCTCCCCCATCTCCACACACACACACACACACACACACACACACACACACACACCCCACCCAAAAAAAAAAAAAAAAAAATTGAAAAAAATCCCATCCCAACTAAGTGCATATGCATTTCTGTTTCTGGAGCATATTCTTCAACAGCAACCATCTTCCACTTGTAATTCTCTATAACCTTCATAAAAAAGTATAAGCTTTGTATCAAAACATAGAAAATGAATATATTCGTGAGAATAAAAAGAAGAAAAATGAGAAAATATAGGGGCTGAGCCCTTTTTTTGTCCTAAGAAAAGAATTTAGTTTAATAATACCTATTTTATTATTATAGTCTAAAAAATAAAGAATATACAAAATATTTATAGTACCGTGCTTGGCTCTTAGGTGAGGCAACCCTCCATGGGGTGCCTTGTCACCTTGGTGTCGACTTGACAACTATATTCAAGACATTGTTAACTATCAAAAGGTACATTGTTGACTTCTTTTGTTGAGGGGAGGAGAGTGTAAACAGAAATAAGAATAAAGAACAACAGGAGTTTTGGTACATTACCTCCTCTGTTAAAGCCTTTTTATATGTTGGTATCCAGTGGCTTGGTGGGTCAGAGCCAACTCAACATGTGATATACCTAGGTTTAATCCAATCTAACCTAGTGTTTTAAAAGTGAGAAACAGAATGTCCTACGAAAAACAGTTAAAAAGGAAAACTGTTAGCTCAATTGGTTAGAGCATTCTTCTGTTTATGGCCTTGCAGATTCAATCCCTACATACATAGTAAATTACCTATTAAAATGTCAACTTTTGGTGAGATACACAACCATAAAACATCACTTTTGGTTCTTAAAAACTGGGTCCAATCTTTAGCCATTTTTTCCTCGGAAGAATAATCCTTCATAGAATCATTGAGATGTAATATGGGTGCTGGAGGATAGCCCATGTTTTCTATTATAAGTGAAAAGGGATAGATGGACAATGTAATGGTCAATCTGCGAAAGTGGGTTAGGGGAAAACAAATGATACATCCAAAGTCTTCAGACACAGCAAGAACTTAAACGACTTCTAAAAATATTTGTTTTAGTAAGATATTTGGGAATCTATCTAGTTGCATGGTCTTTAATGTAAAACCATTTATTATATTGTTATGTGCACTTCTCTGGCATATCTTGCTTTTTCTTAACAGTGTCATATGTCAAGGGTTATATCCATATATTTCTAATCGTTCCCCTCAAGACCCCATATAGAATGGACGAAATTTGGGTGTTGTCATTTAACAGTGTTATATGACATTGCAGTACCAAGTTCTTTTATGAGTTCTTATTTTTTATGGGATTGATACTTGTTTGGATCCAGGGAGTTATACTACCCATCTGATCCCTATTTTTTATTTTTTGTTGATCATCAAGATAGTTTTTTCAGAATTCTCTTGCTACATATGTGCTATTCTTGACTTTGATAATTGTACAGAGATCAACAGCAGATGGGTTCAGGAGCATCCCGTTCAGAAGAGCCGAGGGCCAGGGAAGATCGTCATGCAGATAGGTAAGACTTAAGTCATTGATATGTTTCTGATGGACTGATAGACTTGTGGAGTATATGTTCATAGACTGATAGACTTGCGGAGAATGTTTGATTAAAATACCTGTTGAAGGCGTGAAGCCATGACTTGCGAGGTTTTTCTCATTGGGTTGCATAGAGAATTTTGAGGATCATAATCAAAATGACAATTGGAGATCACTGCTGATCTTGGCCATGACATATTAGGATGCATGTCCAATTTTTATGTTTAAAAATTTTCTTATTTTTTTGTAGTGTCATTGGTGTAGGGTAGTTTTTAATTGCTTTTGAAAAACAATGTTACAGGGATAGGGAGAAATCTCGCGAAAGGGGAAGAGACCGAGAATGGGAACGCGAGAGATCTCGTGAACGATCCCATGATAGACCAAGGGATCGTGATGCAAGAGAAGAAAGACACCATAGAGATCGTGAGAGGAACAGAGACAGGGACAGGGACAGGGACAGAGATCGGGGTCGTGATCGTGATAGGACACGTGATCGTGATCGGGACCGTGGTCGTGACTATGAACGAGACCGAGACAGAGAAAGAGACAAGGATCGTGATCGTGACCGTGACCGTGACCGTGATCGAGGCCGTGATCGCCCTAGAGAGAAGGAGAGGGATTATGACCGTGGGGATCATGATCATAACGAGACAAAGCATGAAAGAGACAATCAGGGTGAAAAGGACAGGGAATATGATCGTGGTGAGCCTGAGCATGGCCGTGAGTGGTATGACAACATGGAGCCTGGCCATGGATATGTGCATCCAGACCAGGACCGTGAACAAGGACATTACGACCATCAAGGCCACAGACAGTATGATGATCTTGAGCCCCAGGGTGACCCAAACCTTTATAATCATGGTGCTGAGCGGTATGAACAGATGGAGCCTGCTGATTACAGATACGACCGTGAAAAGGAGAAAGCTCGAGACCGTGAACATGATCGTTCAGAGAGGTCAGTCTCGCGCGAATACGAGCACTAGGCATGCCGGTAGGTTCATCATAACTGGAAGAGACGTTTAATCTGTGGTGGAAAAACAAACCTAGTAACTCCTTTTCTGTTTGTAGTTTTTTTTTTCCTAAAAAATTGCGTGTTAGATGGGTAGTAGCTCTTTCATTTGGTTGAACGATTGAAGGTAGTATATTTGTCTTGTATAAGTTTACTGTAACTTGCGGTCAATCCATCTACCTCGGTAGAAGGGTGTTGATGCTGGTTAATGTGGTTATATCCTATTGGAAATAGCTTGATTTTGGAGATTTAACTTTATATTGTCAATCTCGATCTTTTTTCTTATCCCCTCCAGTGGCCTGTGGGTAGACCTGGCAATTGGGTTGGGTGGGTCGGGTTTGGATTGGGTTATCAAATGCTGACTGTTTGGGTTAGGGTTGACCCATGGGTCAATTTGGGTCATCCCAAAAAATAACTGATTTAAAAATTAAAGAAAAAATACATGAATGTCAAAATTAAAGAAATTAATCTTAAAATTCCAAATATAAAATGAAAAAGCTTGAGCATACAACAATTTAGAGAGATAGTCTAAATAGTAAAGTTTAAAGATTTGAACGTGGAAACTTCTAATGTATAAATAGTCCCAATTAGATATGACAATCTAGTCAATGGGTTGACCCATGACCCAACTCAGTTTTTTCGGGATGGATTGGGTTGGGTCATTTTCAAATTTTTGGTTTGCGGGTTGGGTCAATTTTTTGTTAGGTCTACTTGCCCCCTTTTATATGTGTGGGTTGAAAGTACTATTTTCTGAGGAAAATGGTGTTTTTTTTGTTTGAAAGCATTGCTGTCAGGTAGGATGTTTCTTGGGGCAACAGCAGCACCTGTTTGGTACTCGACTACCAATACTCATCTGTTTTCAGCACTGGTATCCATTATCCAGTGCTTCTACTATGTATATATTATCTTACATCCAATAGTGGAAAAAAACACCCATTTCATCATATGGTTCCAATTGTTGAATAGACTATAAAAAAAGAAATTCAGGAAATCACGAGGTTAATGGCAAAAAATCTGACAGAAAAATTAATATATTAATATAAAAAAATTCTAGACAAATGGAAAAATATAGAACAAAAATAACAAACTGGTAGAAAGCCTAGAATAGAGCAAGGTTCAAAATATCGATACGTCAATATGGGCATATCGAGCGAATCGATACAATTTTTTTAGTGTTTTTTTATTTTTTATTTTTTTCACAATTGGTTCAGGGGAGATGGTTTAGGCCTCCACACCTTGAATCGGTCAGACCCCCGATACACCCATTGTAGGGGTATACCGGAGGGGTCTCAAAACGATACGTATCGGCCAATACGGGCCGGTACGATACTTTGAACCTTGGAATGGAATGCTGTAAATGATATAAAAAATGAGTAAATTGCTGAAAAAATGTAACAATTTAAAACTAGCACAAATTCGCAAAAAAAAAAAAGAACAATTACTAGGTGTTGCATGGATTAATAAAATTACAATAAACTAATATAGAAAAAGTTGATGAAAAATTATAGACAAATGGAAAAAAAATAGAACAAAGTAGGAAAAACAGAAAATTGAATAAAATTGCATGGAAAAACCAGAATATATTGGAAAAAAATCACAAAAGAAAAACTGACTAAAATACACAGAATACAATGGAAAATGAAATGAAAAAAAAAGTAAATTGCTGAAAATGTCATAATTTAAAAATAGCAGAACTTTGCAAAATAAAAGAACAATAATTAATAGATGTTGCATTCAAAGCAGAAAATTACACCCCAAAAGCTATGTTTTTCCAAGTGAAAGAGGAAAGTAAATGTTTAAACAATTCATCAGTGCATTCAATGAATTTAATCGACCAAAATATGATGATCAGAATCATTTAAATACACTAAAAAACAGAAAAAAATAACTCCCAACAGCTGAAAAAACTTTTAACATGTTTTAGGGTTTATTAAAAGAGATGCATTTAGGATGCACCATATCAATTTAAATATAATAAACGCTGGATGCTACATCACTGCCACATCATATTCCAAATTGAGAAAACATTGAATTAGGCGTTTTCCCAACCACACCTTAATTTCTAAGGTATAATTTGGGGCAACATTTTTTATTAAAAAACGGTTCAAAACATGTCACCATTTTCTAAAGCACCGATTATTTTAACGTACTGATGTGTTACCATTTTCCGGAGCAACGGCATCGATTCCTAACATCACCTAAATTGAAAATCCGTTATGGTTTGTATAGAGAAAATTCTAGAGGATGGCAGGTTGGCGGTTAGACGAACAATTTTTATCAATAGTTAGGCCGTTTCATATAGATGGCATCCAAGTGTTTCAAAATGTCATATGTCACAATGGCATTAGGGGGTCAAATCTGCCCTCATCATTTATTATAAAAATACTTAATGTTCTCAATACGAGACTGAATTCTTATACTTGATACAACGGGCCAAATATTATCTACTAATTCTTATATTGTAAATGTAGCCCAGCTCAGAAATACCAATCTTTCTGAATGCTTGTCACAAGAGAGATGAACGCGCGATAGATACTCAGCAGTGGATATTATTGGCCTGTTGACCATGGCCTAAAAACAAAGTTCATGCGCGGCATTTGGTAATCTCTTAGCCCATGAATAACTATTATTGGGACCCTAATAAGATAATAGGGTTCCGATCTCATGAGTAATGTGACAGTATTCTAGTAGGCCAACCTATCTTCAAATCATGGAAGTCTATTAAACTATTTTTGATTAACGGAGAAGTTTCAGCTGATTTCAAAATGGATAGGACTTTTCAGTAAGTTTGCCTATTTATAAGCCCTGTATTTTGTTTTGGCTGTAAAAGATATAAATCATGGAAGTGCTCGCTTCGAGTCACGTAAGATATAGCACGCTACCCATTCGCCCTAATTCTCCAACGAATCACAGAATACCAAAAATTGAGAGAATATACGGCAGAACACTCCTTTTAAGAACAAACAAAAGCAATAGATCAAACACCCGTAGACCCAAATCCCCCAGCGCCCCTTACAGTTGAATCCAAATCTTCAACCTCCAAAACTTCTGGCGTCATTATCTTCTGAATGATCAACTGGGCAATCCGATCACCGGGCTTTACTTGAAAATCGAAATCGGAATGGTTGAAAAGAATCACCCCAACAGGACCTCTATAATCGGCGTCTATCACACCAGCCCCCACATCAATTGAATGTTTCCACGCCAGACCCGATCGTGGTGCTGCACACATTAAATTGCGGTCATTTTTCGAACGAAAAGAGCCAGAAACTTAGAACTCCTCACAGCTAAATGCAATACTTACCGATACGGGCGTATGTCCCTTCGGGTATGCTGATGCTCAGATCAGTCGGAACCAGGGCTTTCCCCTTCGGTGGGACTTTAGTCTCTGCCGCACTGAAAAGATGAGAGGTTACAGGAAACGACACACCCATTAGACAGCAGTGTCGCGACCACTAAGGATTACAGTAAACGAAGCCAAAAGGAAGCCATTTTGTTACCTAGAGAGATCGTAGCCTGCTGAGAGAGGCGATGCCCTTGAAGGCAAAACAGCTTTTTCCGATAGCCTCTTCACCCTCAAAAGAGGGATGTCGTGGAAAACTTCAGAAACGCCATTTTGGTCGATCCTCTGAACCTTGAGAGCAGGCTCTTTAACTTCTGGACTCCCGTTTTGAAGATCTTGCTGAGACATCTTTATCTTGATGGTTGAGAAGCTTACGAATCGATTGGAAGAGTATCCTCTCGACTTCTCAGGATGATTCGAGTGGCAAGAAGTGATGGAGGGTTTGATTTATAGAGAAAAAAACCCGGGAAGGATGTTTTCGAAATGGCGCCAATCCGTCCCGCCATTGTGGAACTTGAAACGAGAAATGCGGAACCATCCCTTTCATCATTTGAAATTGGCTTGTGGAAGATGGAACAATCCGCTAGGGAAATAAGCCAAACGGCGAATCAGTTGGGCCATGTCAGGATCCGTTTGGTACGCGTTGAAACATATGGAATCAGATTGCCCTGCGGCCGTCATCCCTATCTGATCCAACTATGATGTATGAAGTATGAACGAATTGAATATGATCAGATTCTAAAATCAGACAAACAACGGTTTTTGATCAGAGAACAGACTTCTATATCATCGGTTTTGATCTGCTGGATGAATATGAATTTGGCCCTGCTGGTAACGCAATGCTATATGAATCTGGGTCGTCGGATATTTTCATCAATAGCTCCATGTTATTGGGGTTGTGTTTGGATGCTTGAAATCCAACGGTTCATCTACTTTTGCGTCCATAATTGCTCTGAATGGGCTTGAACTTGAACATTCTTGATACAATTACACAAATGAAGCCAACTCAGTTAAGTTCGGTGTTGGAAAAAGTTCAGTGCATATTTACACTCTGGTTTAGTTTTGTTAGTGTTCAATAAGAGTGCATTCATGTCTGGAAAATGACGACGGTAAATACAGATTTCAAAACAGGTTTGCATCCAAAAAATGAGAGCAAAATTTGCATCTGAAAAATAGATGCAAACTTTGCATTTAAAGTTGATCAATGTTAAAAAAAGGTACATTTCAATCAGGAGGTTCGCGAGACTATGAGAACAATCGACCTCAACTAAAATGAGCTGGGTTGAATATTATATGATTACAAAGAAATGTCTCATATAGACAAATTCGTTTGGACTGGTCCAATAATAAATGTTTCTTTACCCGGGCATTACCCCAGTTTTGGCGGTTTGGCCCAGCCCATATTGCCACAAAGTACATGATGTAGCAGCCCGTCCTCAGGCCTCGTTTTTTCATTTGGGCCTAGGACTTCTAGAACAGTACGGCCCATCAGGCCACTATGACTTAACATAAACCAATTTAGGATTTAGGCCAGGCCTCTTTGTAGACTACGCGTTCATTACCATTGGAAGGTCAGCGACGATTTTGGCTTCGAAAATGTATTGGCAGAGGGTTAGGCTTGACTAGTTTACCAATAACCATTCACTCTTGTTCATTAGAGGCAAGTGTAGATTGTTTCATAAAACGGACCCACAGGTGCCCTATATGCACATCTTAGCGAGTTCACATCTGTGCCCCACAAGGGGGCGCCCCATAGCACATCTCGACCTTATATTGGGAATATTTCTATGCCTTATTATCTCTCATATTTGTCATTAGAAGATGTTTCCAATACAAGGTCGGAATGTGCTGAGGCATTGTGGGGCGCAGATGTGAACTCCATCTTAGCATGTATTGGAAATATTTTTTGTACTTATTATTATGAGATATTTTCAATACATGGTTGGGATGTACTGTGGGGCACCCATGGGGCGCACCCTGTATACTTTCTGACTCCATCAGCATTGTAAATTGATGGCTCTTGTGACTAGACCTGTTCATGAGCCGGGCTTTGGGCCCAACTTTATACTATCTCGGACTTGAACTCGGGTTTTTGACTGAATCCATTAAAATTTTAACAAAAGCCAAACCCGATCCTGACCCGTGAACAGGTCTACTTGTGACCCCTGATAGGTAGTGCGTTACGGATTCATCCTTAAATGCTCCAAAGGCAATATCTATTATCTTTCAATTCTGCCAATACAAAAAAAAAAAAAAAAATCCCAAACCCATGACTCACAATAAACAAATATAGAATAATGTCTATCACTCTATTACATTCAATACATTCGTTAATAAGTGAAACATATAGTATTGTCTTCATACAAACCAATGCCAAAGCCCAAAACAAGCCAAGCCCACTTAAACTCTTGACTAATGAAGAAGCCCACGTATTCTAAGCATCAGACCCAAGCCAAAGCGGATACTACAATATTTGCATGTGCCATTCAAATTAGTTTTTATAAGCACTATGGGGTATTCTCTAATATGAATATTTTTGTTTTTTACTGTTTCTAAGATATATTACATCAACAGACAGTTTTATTACAAAAAACCCTTTTTTTTTAACAAAAGCAAAAAAGATGTTTCCACATCCAAAAACCAAAATGCTGACATGGGCTAATATTTGGTGTATGTTATTCCCTATACAAACCAAATCGGGTTTTCATCAATTTGATTTTTTTTTCAAGGAAAAACAACACCATTTTGCCGTTGTGGCAATTCTTATTTTAGAAAACCAAAAACATGTATATTTGCAAAACACCCCTTAAAAATAAAATATAAAAAGGAAAAATAAGCTAAATCCATATACTCGTATTCTATGTCTAAATATTATACATTTTTTTGGTACTTTCAATTTTGGAAAGAATTTCTATATTTCAAATTTAAGATCCAATACTTTTCAAACCGTGTGTGTGGGGCCTAGAGGTGAGCAAGAAAAGCCGATTGAAACCAAACTGAAAATCTGGTTAACTGAACTGGTTGGTTCAGTATTTTTTAAAAACCGAGGATACTGGTTTGGTTTTGGTTAATCAATATAGAAAACCAGCTATTAACCGAATATGACCGGTATATATATATATATTTCTATGTTTTATGTATATTCTATATTTTTATATATAATATATTATTTATTATTTGAAATATAATATTATATATATTTCTAGTTTTTTATATATATTGTAAATATAAAAAATAAAAAACTGACAAATCAAACCAACGGTTAACTGAACTGGTCAACCTGTTAACCAGTCGGCTTCGATTTGGTTTTAGTTATCAATTTTCTAGAAACCAATAATACCGATTCGGTTTAAAAAATAGGCCCACAATTAGTTAACCAAACCATGAGAACCCCTAATGGGGCCTAAAAGAAAACAATTCACCTTAGAAAAAAGCCCCTAGGCATTGCCATGTTGTTAAAAGGTCATTGTAAATTGTAATTTTACAATATTACTGTTTACTTCGTTTTTTCTTTCTTTTTAAGTCTGTTTGTTCTGGGATATTGACACCCAATATGGAAATAACAGTTTGATCCATCTTTGCTAAAAGTTTTACTTAACTTTAGTATTTACAATGTAATTAGCATTTCAAAAGGATTAGAAAAACAATTTTATATTTAAATATATCTAATTTTATTTTATTTTACTAAGCAGAGACCTTTCTATCCCACGGAAGGGTTGTGTTGATTGAACTGTGTTGACTGAGCGGCTTAGAAGAGAGTAGCTCACATAGCTTCATCGGAAGAAAGTTGTTGTTTTTTTTTTTTTTTTTGGCTCATATAAACTTGTTTTGAGTTTTTTTGATTATTTATCAAGTTGGAACCGCTTGGCCACCGGTTTGATGGTTTGGTTTGAACATGGTCCATTTCAATTTTAAAAATAAAAAAATAGTTGAAATAAAAAACAGCCAAAACCATTGTCCGTGTCCAATTCTGGTTGATGGTTTGATCGTTTGGGTCAGCAAGTAGTTGATCAAGTCAATGATTTTTGGCCAAGGTACAAGTTAATGGTGAAACATAGTTGATTGCCTGAACGATTTTTAAGCCGAATGGTCCGGCCATCTAGATCAACGAGGGCTCAAAACCATTATAATGTTAGAAGCTGCTGCATGAAAGCCGTCCCAAATGAAAACAATGAATTGGGGACCCACCTTGGCTTTTCTTCACTCCACCTCTCCACTCTCCACCACGTTTCTCCCTCCAACTTTGTCTCAGGTGCAGTATTGCACCTGCAACTTTAGTCTCCCTAAATCAAAGTTGGTTTTACTACAGTCAATTTTGTCAAACTGGTTTACATGGGGCTGGGGGTAGTTTTAAGGTGGGCCGTGGGCCTTTATTCCTGGGCCCAGATTTTGTTATTCTATAATTCGAGGCGGGTGGGATGATTTGATGATGAAAGAAAAAGAGGAGAAAGGAGGTGAGGTCTGTTCTTCGACCTCCTCTTATTTCTCATCAACTCGGAAGGCTCAGTTTACAAGGAGTATAAATACAAATATATAGAATGTAATACCTTGTATTTTGTATCCGCCAAGCGTGGGATGGGCTATCATTTGTATCCACCAAAATAAGGCTGTCTGATAGGAGGGCACAGTCGCACAGAGGAAGGATGAGGATCGAGGAATTGAGTATCTCACATCACACACTCCATTTCTTCATTGTTACTTTGTTTAGTACGTTGTATGTCTCCTGTGCCCCGTCGCTCTTGTACCCTTGCCCTTTTATTAATTTAAGCTGACGTCGATCGTTTGGAAAGTGTTTGTATCCCAGTGAGAAAACCCCCCAACACGTCACCATTCGCCACCATCCACATCTATCTCTGGATTCTTGATTGTTCAACCGTGCAAGAACAGAAAGTCCGAGAGTACATTCGGATTTGAAATAGAACGAGAGAAAGAGAATTATAAATTGTCGACATCGACATGTAGATTACGTGGTACCTGTCGAGGAACAAGAGGACGAGCTTGGGAAGCACCCATGAAGCTTCATTTCATATATCTCTGGTCCAATCCTCATATATGTCGTCGCTTCTTCATTACTACGATCGAGAGAGACTAGGGTTTGTCAATGTGATGGTGAGAGATCCAAATATATACAATTTCTGAGAAGCTTCCGATCGATGATGCTTCTTGAATGAACTCCGTAAATAACAATGGTTCAGTTTGAAAGGAGTACAAATATAAATATGTACAGTATAAATACATATAAAATATAAGGTTTTAAGGTTTTGCACTCTATATATTTGTATTTATACTTGTTTCAAACTAAGCCAAAAATGGGATCTATTCCTCGTCTAGGATGTGCCTGTGAGGGGACCAAATCTGGTCTCCTCATTTCATACCTAATACCTCCTACAATACAGAAGTCCCAATAAACCCAGTTTTCTCAATTCAG